TATTCCATTGTGTATACACCACGTGTTCTTCATCCGTGCATCCAGTGAGGGACACTGCGGCTGATTCCATAACGTGGCTACCGTGAACAGCGCCGCAGTACACGCGAGGGTGCCGAGAGCTCTTCAGTGTCCTGATTTCCTTTCTTTGGGGGATATTCCCAGCAGTGGGATTGTGGATTATATGGTGGCTTTGTATTTAGATTTGGGGGTAACCTCCGTGCTGCTCTCCAGAGGGCTGCACGAATTTATACTCCCAACAACAGTGCTCCCTTTTCCCCACCTCCTCCCTCGCCAGCGTTTGTGATTGCTGTCTTTTGGGTAGAAGCCGTTTTAACTGGGGTGAGGTGATATCTCATTGTAATTTTTATTTGCGTGTCTCTGATGATTAAAGGATATTGAGCATGTTTTTGTATACCTGTTGGCCATTTGTGTGTCTTCTTTTGAGAAATGTCTGTTCAGATCTTTTGCCCATATTTTAATTGAATTACTCAGTTTTTTCCGATTAAGTCGTTTGAGAATCTATAATAATCTTATAGATTCTGCTTATTAATCTCTTGTCAGTGGGTAGTTGGCAAATATTTTCTCCCATTCTGTGGGTTGTCTCTTCACTTCGTTGATTATTTTCTTTGCTGTGCAGTAGCTTTTTAGCCCGATGTGGTCCTGTTTGTCCATTTTTGCTTTGGTTGCCTGTGCTTTTGAGGTCTTACTCAAGAAGTCTTTGCCCAGACCAAAATGCCCTGGAGTATGCCAGCCTATTAGGCCCATTTCCAATTTGATTAGTGGTTTTAGATACCAAGCAGGTGTTTCCCCTATAAGGATGTCTTTTAATTTTTCAGTCCACCCACAGATACAGTTTCAAGCAGAAAAGGGTTGAGGTCTGACTCACTCCTGGGGTGTAATTCTTCAGCCAGCGCTGTGGGCTGAGACCAGACCCTGCCCCACGTCCCACTACCTGGAGGACCAACAGGTGCTGACCAGGCACCCAGCAAATTGCACTGGCGCTTACCTGCAGGGTTAATTAATAAGAGGGAAGGCTGCTTTTCCCTTAAATACGGAAACGAGTTGCCTCACTTCAGAGTGTTGCTTATAGAAAAATAGTAGTTCTAGACCATTCAGTCTTCTTAGTTGCTAATCTAATACGTAACATTTTGCTGTCCCTGAATTTATAAATAGTTACCTGTATGGTCTTATTTGTTTAAATGAAATTTGTATTTCTAGATGATAAATTTGGGCTGAGGAGAAATTCCAACACTGTACATAGTCATTCCTCCTTCAGAAAGCAGGTTTTGAAGTGTGTTCAGCAGCTGGGGCTGTGGAGTAAACCAGTGGGGCTGGAGAGCCATGTGGGGAAAAGGAAGGCCATGGCCGAGGTCAGACCCGGTCCCTGCTGGAAAAGGGAACCCACAGCCCCTGCGCCCCTGAACCCCTCTCCCAGGTTCTGGGAAGGAGGGACCCCAGATGCCAGAGGGCACAGGTTATTTGTATGACGCGTTCTCTCCTCCCCAGTCTAGAGCGGGACCAGTTGGTACTATCCTTGGAAATAGAAAATGGCGCCTCGGAGCACTTCTGCTCTCTGGGATGCAGATGAAGAACTTGAGAAAAGGTGTTTGACTCTCCCATCTCTCATGCCTTTTCTGTAGAAGTGCACATTGGATTTTGTAACTGAAATGACTACAAATTATAGGACAGTAGTTATAATCTCCCTCTCAATACTGCTTTTCCAGAATCATTCTATTCCATATATCACAAGCTCACTTTACTTTGTAAACTTCTTAAAGTATCAGAAATTTATAAAAGGTAAATGCTGATAGATTCAGTACACATCATTTAAAACTGTGTAAATATGTGTGTTGGCCTGTTTGTCTATTTATTTCCTTAACTAGAGCCTAAAAAATGTTTGGTAAGTCACCTGAGGTCACATGATAGGGAAGGAGCGGTGGCTTTTGCGCTGCGGTCCTCTCAAAAGCTTGCCTGTGGGGCTGGATCAGTGGCAGTGGCACCTGGGCAACCCTGAAAAGGAGGGACAGGTGCCTGTCACCTCCACGCAGCATCGGTGACACCATCGTGATCCCTGGCTTTGCTACCGGCACTCCCCACTTGCACACAGTGTCTCCAGAGCCAGAAGAGACTTGGTATTAGGGTGTTTTCCATTATCTCTGCACACTCCCTCCCTCACATGGTGTTAGGGTGTCATCTCTGCACACTCCCTCCCCCACACATGGTGTTAGGGTGTCATCTCTGCACACTCCCTCCCTTACATGGTGTTAGGGTGTCATTGCTTCACACTTCCTTCCCCCACAGTGCCCAGCTGTGTCAAGTTCAAAGCATGAGAAAGAAAGGAAGCAGCTCTTCACCCTCAGACATTGGAAAGTCATGCTGGAGGTATTCTGTGGTCAGACGTGTGGGGAATTGCTTAGAAAATCTGATTTTAAAAAAGGTTCCTGGTCTGCCTGTGAGTGCATGTCTGGAGGGCTCCTGTGAGAAAGTGTGAGGATGGAGCCCTGGTGTCCTCTTGGTGGCCTTGCTGTGCTGACTGTCCACCTCGTGCCCTCACACCTCATTTCGCAAATCCCCGCTGCAGCTCTGAGTGGTGCCTCGGCATGGCTGTTCTGTAGACGAGGACCCTGGGGTTGCAGAGGTGCAGCCATTTGCCCAGGGTTTGGTCCTAACCTGAGCAGCTGGCCACAGAGCCAGAGCTCTGGAGAACTTTGCTGTAGTCTCTCTGAGAGCGTGAACTTATCCTCACAGGAACGTTCAGAAGGCCCTAAGATTGACTTAATGTCCTGGACACTAGACAGAATTTAAAATGTTCCTGAAGTGACTTGAGTTCTCAGAACCCAAGATTTTAAAACCGTTTGTTTGCTAAGAGTGAGGTAGAGGTTAAAACTGAAGGCAAGGACATGCTCATCAGAAGAGGGGCGTGAGAATGAGGTGGTGGTTTGAGAAGAGGCCTCGCCCAGGCCGTGAGGTGCTTCAGTGCTGTTGGTGGCGGCAGGCCTGCAGAACAGAGAGGAGACCCCGAAGGAAGCGGCTGTGTTTCTGGGCTGTCCTGCAGTGGTGTGGGATGTTGGAGAGAGCATGCTCTCCATGGTTACTGTGCTCTCCGTGGTTAGCGTGCTCTCCGTGGTTAGCATGCTCTCCATGGTTAGCGTGCTCTCCGTGGTTAGCATGCTGTCCTTGGTTAGGGTGCTCTTCATGGTTAGCGTGCTCTCCATGGTTAGCATACTCTCCATGGTTAGCATACTCTCCGTGGTTAGCGTGCTCTCCATGGTTAGCATGCTGTCCTTGGTTAGCGTGCTCTTCATGGTTAGCGTGCTCTCCATGGTTAGTGTGTTCTCTGTGGTTAGCATGTTCTCCGTGGTTAGCATACTCTCCGTGGTTAGCGTGCTCTCCATGGTTAGCATGCTGTCCTTGGTTAGCGTGCTCTCCATGGTTAGCGTGCTCTCCATGGTTAGTGTGCTCTCCGTGGTTAGCGTGTTCTCCGTGGTTAGCATGCTCTCCGTGGTTAGCATGCTGTCCTTGGTTAGCGTGCTCTCCATGGTTAGCGTGCTCTCCGTGGTTAGCGTGCTCTCCGTGGTTAGCGTGCTCTCCATGGTTAGCGTGCTGTCCTTGGTTGGTGTGCTCTCCATGGTTAGCATGCTGTCCTTGGTTAGCGTGCTCTCCATGGTTAGCGTGCTCTCCGTGGTTAGCGTGCTCTCCGTGGTTGGCGTGCTGTCCGTGGTTGGCGTGTTCTTTGTGGTTGGCGTGTTCTCCGTGGTTGGTGTGCTCTCCGTGGTTAGTGTGCCTTTAGCTGCATAATAGGATTGGTATACCCTATTTTTCTAATTAATATCTGGTAGGGAGGTTCCTTTTATACAGACAGACTTTTATCAGAAAACAATACTTTTTGTCATAAAATACTGTTCACAAAATATTAACTCTAAAAATTGCTCTTCCACTTGTGATTGTTAAATTTTAATAAATCAATAAATAATTACCAATAAGAATATGTTCTGTTTATGAGTACCTGCCATATGCCAGGGAACCACTCATGTTATTTTGGCCTCAAAACAATTTGGAGCCATTTTTCCACTCGACAGAAGAGGAGCGTGTTCCCAGCAGAATGGCGGCCTGGCCACAGAAGTGCCGACTTCCACACTTGGCTTAGAACCCAGGCCTGCTTTCTCCTTGTCTATTTGGTCTCCTTTAAACTTGCAAAGATTACATGTAGACACATTAATAGAGTTAATTACTCACCAGTTTATCTCTTATTTTAGAAAAATAAATACAGTAAACATGAGATTCAAACTATTTCCCCTTTCATGGAGTCCATGGAACTGGGGAGGGAGAAACCTTGAAGGGTCGGGTCACTTGCTCCCTGCCCCCAGACTGATGGGGTGAGCTGCATTCTCGATTTTAACACCATCTGGCTCTAGGGAGCAGTTAACACAAATTGTAAAGAAAGTCTTTATGATCCATCATGGTCTTTATTTTAAAGAATAATACCAGGCCAGGCGCGGTGGCTCACACCTGTAATCCCAGCACTTTGGGAGGCCGAGGCGGGCAGATCATAAGGTCAGGAGATCGAGACCATCCTGGCTAACACAGTGAAACCTCATCTCTACTAAAAATACAAAACAAATTAGCCGGGCGTGGTGGCGGGCACCTGTAGTCCCAGCTACTCGGGAGGCTAAGGCAGGAGAATGGCACGAACCCGGGAGGCAGAGTTTGCAGTGAGCTGAGATCATGCCACTGCAGTCCAGCCTGGGTGACAGAGCGAGATTCCGTCTCAAAAAAAAAAAAGAATAATACCAAGTGACTTTGGTCATATTGCTTAGGATTACTCTAGAACAATGTTATTCAAACGTATATACTTAGCCATGAAACCAAAACGTTCTGAACACCTAAGTTTTTCTGCAGCTGTCCCATGTTGGCGAGCTTTCTGAGCACCGCCGTGCTGGCTTGCCCGCGTGCAGCTTTCCTGAGTCAGTGGTGGCCTCAGGCGTTGCTGTCTCCCACAGGTCGCTCTGGTGCAGTGGACAGAGAGTGTGGGCCTCACACTGGTCAGCAGGGACCTCACCTCCATGCAGCTGAAGACGCCCAGCGGCCAGGTCCTCAGCTTCTGCATCCTGCAGCTGTTCCCCTTCACCTCAGAGAGCAAGCGGATGGGCATCATCGTCAGGGTGAGGCTGCGGCGAGGGTGCCGTGCCATGGCTCCGGACATTTCGTTTTCAGGCCTTTCAGACACAGATTTTCCCAAAAGAAAGTTAAATATTTACTCAAGTGCTTTATGCTGTTACAGTTTTTTTTTGTTTGTTTTTGTTTTTTGTTTGTTTTTTTTTGAGACAGAGTCTTGCTCTGTCACCCAGGCTGGGGTGCAGTGGCCGGATCTCAGCTCACTGCAAGCTCCGCCTCCTGGGTTTAGACCATTCTCCTGCCTCAGCCTCCCGAGTAGCTGGGACTACAGGCGCCCACCACCTCGCCCGGCTAGTTTTTTGTATTTTTTAGTAGAGACGGGGTTTCACCGTGTTAGCCAGGATGGTCTCGATCTCCTGACCTCGTGATCCGCCCGTCTCGGCCTCCCAAAGTGCTGGGATTACAGGCTTGAGCCATACAGTTTTTTTTTTTAATGAAATCTAAGCTAATAATCTATGTCTGAGAAGCCACTGTGTCTCTAGTGAGATAAAATAACTCTCCTAAGTCAACCTAGCCAGAATCAATAATGTGGAATTTATTTATTTTTTGAAATCAACAACTAAAGCTGTTTTGATTTCAACAAAAATAAGATGCCAAAGAGTTTGACTTTTGAACATTGATTTATGACCATAAAGTTGCCAAAATGTACCTTAATTTTTTTTAGCAAACACCAAAATCATGTCTTGGAAGTTGACTAAACAATGAAGCATTCAATCCAACTGTAAAAGTTTAAGAGAATGGATGCAACCCAAATCATACTCATTAACACATTCAGACCTTCAGCCCAGCATCTCAGGACGCACAATCATGTTCTCAATCCTGACGGCACTAGTGCTGAAGAGCGGGACTAGCCCTCTGTGTAGAAACACGTGTGAGTAGCTTACCACACAGGAACACGTTCATAGGAACTGCTTTTTCCATTATGTGTTTTATTAGACTAGCAGTTATTTGCACCAAGCAATGCAGCCTAAATGTGCTTCTGTTTATTCCTGTTCTGTGATAGGATGAATCCACGGCAGAAATCACATTTTACATGAAGGGTGCTGATGTGGCCATGTCTCCTATCGTGCAGTATAACGACTGGCTGGAAGAGGAGGTATGTGAATGATTCTTCACATGGTTCACAGTGTTTTTGTGAACTTTATTGAATAGATGACAGAAAAAGGATATCCTTTCCCCAGCTTGTAGACACTGGTATCATTGGATAAATTGAGCTGTCAAAATGTCAAACCAGATGCTGATGGGAACCACATAGGTTGTCAAACACAGTATCATTTATACTAAATTATTTTAAATGCTTACAGTTCTCAATTTCATAAAGGAGAAAGGACAGGAGTCCTGTCTATTTATTTATAAATAGTTTAATTTTTTTTTTTTTTTGAGACAGACACTCTCTGTCAGCCAGGCTGGAGTGCAGTGGCGTGATCTCGGCTCACTGCAACCTCCACCTTCCAGGTTCAAGCCCACCTCCTAGGTTCAAGTGATTCTCCTGCCTCAGCCTCCCAAGTAGCTGGGACTACAGGCACATGCCACCAAGCCCGGCTAATTTTTTTTTTGTATTTTTTAGTAGAGACGGGGTTTCACCATGTTAGCCAGGATGGTCTCTATCTCCTGTCCTTGTGATTCACCCGCCTTGGCCTCCCAAAATGCTGGGATTACATGCATGAGCCACCATGCCCAGCCAATAGTTTACTTTCTATGTGAATAACAATCATTTTGTTTTGTGGGTGAGTGCATGTCGGTCTATACAAGTAGGTCCTTTCAAAGAATATTTTGTTTATAATAGTGAGAAAGAGAAGGCATTATCAATCATTCATTATTCTGAAATAATACTTTATATGTAATCAAAGTTATATTTTAATGTATTTCTTTTGTAACATAAATATTTGCAAGGACATTTTCATTAGAATTTTAACCTGATGCAAATTTGTGCATAAGATTCACCTAAAATTAGAACATAAGATACAAATAAGAAGCAATTCCATATTTCATTAAATTCTCCTGAAGTAACCAGGATTTGTGGGTCGTCTCATGAGGTGGTTTTGTTTATCGTTAAGCTTATGTATAAATCAGTGGTTGGATTTCCGAGGAAAACAGACTGTTGTCATTGCAGTCAACATGGCCCTTTTTGCCGTGTGCGTGTTGCTGTTGGAATTCACAGCCTCTCCTCCCACCCTGGGACCTCAGAGATGGTCTGTCCGTGCAGCCTCCACACCCCGACGTTCACAGTGGTATTGGTAATATGAATCAATGTCTCCTTCAGGGTTCTTTCATTTAATCAGGGACATGAATAAATTAAACTCCCTGAAGACCTAGTAAAATGCCATAAAAATTACTTTTGGTCATAATGACGTGCAATTATTGTAAAATACTTGTTTAATTTATTTAGCTTTATGAGGTCAAATCAATAAATGTCTTGCAACAGACAGATAATGTCATATGTTTTTCACAAAGATAACTTTATTAAAAATTCTGTGTACATTTATTTTCTCAGCATTGTATTTTCTTTCCTTGGAATAGATTGTTGTCCCTTCATCAGTGTCTGTTGTGGTACTACTGTAGTGTGAAAGCCTTTCCTTTTATTACAGACTAAACGAGGCAGTAGGTTCTTCGAGCGCGTTGTTCCGCTTCCTTCAGGCTCCTCTAGAGCTGAATTCTTGGCTGTCAACTTGTGTTCTCCAAATGTTTAAAAAAAAAAAAAATTTCCATGATCACATAACAGAACCAGTTTTTGCAAACCTGAGATGTAAGAATATGTAAGTCTGTGAATAGACTTAAAATAGTGATGTTCTGAGCCGGGCACGGTGGCTCAAGCCTGTAATCCCAGCACTTTGGGAGGCTGAGACGGGCGGATCACAAGGTCAGGAGATCGAGACCATCCTGGCTAACACGGTGAAACCCCGTCTCTACTAAAAAATACAAAAAACTAGCCGGGCGAGGTGGCGGGCGCCTGTGGTCCCAGCTACTCCGGAGGCTGAGGCAGGAGAATGGCGTAAACCCGGGAGGCGGAGCTTGCAGTGAGCTGAGATCCGGCCACTGCACTCCAGCCTGGGCGACAGAGCCAGACTCAGTCTCAAAAAAAAAAAAAAAAAAAAAAAAATAGTGATGTTCTGGATAGCTGGAGGTGTTGAGGTGATTGGCTTCCTTCCCTCTAAACACAAACTTGAGTTAGGCCCTGGACATTGTATCGTAAAGGAAACAAGCACAGGTGACCCTGAACAACACGAGGGTCAGGGGCTCCAACCCCTGACACAGTTGAAAATCAGCCTATCACTTCGGACTCCCAAACACATAACTACTCACAGCCTTCTGTCAACCGAAGCCATACCAGTAACAGGGATAGATTGATTATCACAATGTGTATGTTACGTGAATTGCATTCTGCATTGTTACAAGAAAGTAAGTTAGAGCAAAGAAAGTGTTATTAAGAAAATCATAAGGAAGAGAAAATGTATCTACTCGTCAGTAAGTGGGAGTGGGCCATCGTAATGACCTTCTGACCTTCTTCCTCACGGTCTTCATGTTGAGGAGGCTGAGGAGGAGGAGGGGTTGGTCTTGCTGTCTCAGGAGGGCAGAGGCAGAACAGGTGGAGGAGGTGGAAGTGGAAGCAGGAGGCGCAGGCTCATTCCACATAAGCTTTACTGAAAAAAATTTGCGTAAAAGTGGACCTGTGCTATTCAAACCCATGTTGTTTAAGAGCCATCTGTAGCTAAAATTGGGAATGACGAGGTATAATGGATGACAGCCTTGCCTTTGTAATTCACAGTAATTGTCACCTCCTTTGTCTCCTGTAACACATGACCCTATAGAGGTCACTATTCCGATTCCTGAACAGGAGACGGGAAGAGACACAGCTGTTGGATGCATGAAGAGGGGTGCTAGACCCACACCTCTCCTCCAGCCCTTCCTGCCATCCCTGCAGCCTCCAAACCAACGTCAAATCCAATCAACTGGATGAATTAAAAAGAAATTGCAAAAAATCTGTAGAGTTCAATAATGTTTATTTGCCTACAAATTAACCTGGATCAGCAGATAGTACACTGGCTTCATTAGAGTGGGGCCTCCCATGCGCAGGGCTGCCTGTTGCCCAGGAGAGATGATGGGTGATGACAGGGTCTCTGCGCGTGACTGGGGGCTGTGATGTGCATGCGTGCACCGTGATGTGTTTCCAAGCGTACGGTGTGCCTGGAGGTTTCTCAACACTTCTCCTGGGCAGTGCCGAGAACGGTCAGATGCCCAAAGCCCCAGCTCTCCGGGCCGCAACTGCCCATCTCTGGCTTTCTGTTGCTGCCTGCGGAGCTGGCCTCTCTGCTGCACGTCCACCCTGAGGGCTGGCGGAGCCTTCCTTAGCGGCACTGTCGCGTTTCCTCTCCCGACCATGCAGACTCTCAGTGTTCAGTGCAACTTTGCACAAACCAGGTTTACTAGTGTTTGATCTTCTTTTCCGTAAACAAGTGTAGCTAATTAACTTCTTTAGGATATCTTTGCTTAAGTGTCTGCATTATCAACGTTCACATTTTTAATGTTTTAAGTGTACATTGAAAATAATGTTTGTGATTCGTTGTTCTCTAGCTATAATGTAGAGCTCTCTTCTCCTTGGAGGTTACCAAGATAGCCTCTAGAAGACCTCTCCTCTCGCCGGGGATCACGGTGGCGGGCGGGTTTGCAGCTGCACCACCTCTGCGGGGCTCACTGTGGGCCGTAGCTGAGTTGGGAGCGTCCACCTGAGCTGCAGAAAGTTCCTGTGGCTTCAGGAAGATGTGATTACCACTGATTTCTTTGTATTATCAACCCTAATGCCAGAGGCTGCTAAACCTGCCAGAGATAGGAGCTTTATAAACACTGTTAAAATTTGGAAGAGTTCCTCAAATTTGAAATTTAAGAGGGAGTCAACAACAACTGGATGGAGAGTCCTAAGCAGCCAATCTTTCAGGACCTTCCAGGACACAGAGAAGCCCTGTCTACAGGGAGGGTTGCCGTTAAAGCATCTTAAAGTATGTTAGCCCTAATAATTGCTAGGCCGGGCGCGGTGGCTCACGCCTGTAATCCCAACACTTTGGGAGGTCGAGGTGGGCGGATCACGAGGTCAGGAGAACGAGACCATCCTGGCCAACATGGTGAAACCCCATCTCTACTAAAGATACAAAAAAATTAGCCAGGCGTGGTGGTGTGCACCTGTAGTCCCAGCTGCTGGGGAGGCTGAGGCAGGAGAATGGCGTGAACCCGGGAGGCAGAGCTTGCAGTGAGCCGAGATCACACCACTGCACTCCAGCCTGGGAGACAGAGCAAGACTCCATCTCAAAAAAAAAAGTAGAAACTGCTAGATTCAAAAATTGATAGTTTGGACAGTTATATAGCTTGGTGTTCATTACTTTGTTTTTTTAAATGTACTTTTCATAAAACACACCACAACTTTAAAGCTTAGGCACACCTCACCCAGCACTTAGTAATCAACTGTAAGGTCCCTGTGTGTCCCTGGAAGAGGGCCCCACTGTCCTGAGCCCTGTCCTGGTCCACACAGCAGAGGGGGGTGGGGTTGTCTCCTGGCAGCCCCAGCACCCCCTTAGCTGTCCGGGAGCCCAGCACCCTCCAATCCCTGCCTCTTGTCTGCACCCCCCAGACGTTGGCCCCTTGACCAGGACTGTGTGTGCTCACAGCTAAGTCGCGGACCCGCCTGGTCCCCCAGGAGACCCACCGGTGCCCTCCTGCCCACTTCTGCCCAGTTGCCCACACCGCCTTGTGCCAGGTAGGAGGCCCACTGGTGCCCTCCTGCCCACCTCTGCTGGGTCGCCCACACCGCCTTGTGCCAGGTAGGAGGCCCACTGGTGCCCTCCTGCCCACCTCTGCTGGGTCGCCCACACCGCCTTGTGCCGGGTAGGAGGCCCACTGGTGCCCTCCTGCCCACCTCTGCTGGGTCGCCCACACCGCCTTGTGCCGGGTAGGAGGCCCACTGGTGCCCTCCTGCCCACCTCTGCTGGGTCGCCCACACCGCCTTGTGCCGGGTAGGAGGCCCACTGGTGCCCTCCTGCCCACCTCTGCTGGGTCGCCCACACCGCCTTGTGCCGGGTAGGAGAGTGGGCTGGGTTTGTTTCTTCACCCTGCCCTGCAGGAACACGTGCTGCTTGCGTCTATTCCTGTGGCCCCGCGAGGCCTGTCCCGCTGGGTGTCCTTCACGTCACCACAACCATGTGAGGGAGGAGCTGTTTTCACTTTGCACACAAGGAAATGGCATAGAAAGCGCAGAGTTCCAGAACCGGCTTCTGTAGCTCTCCAGATTCTCTCTGCTGGCTATGTGGAAGTGCAGGGTGTAGCTATTGACTATGAGCATTCTCGTCCAAGCCTTTTAAAACCTGACCCTTGTTCATGTAAAAGCAGCATGGCACCTGTCAACCTCTTGTGGACATCAGGGTCTACTTTTTAAGTGCAGGTTGAACTTCCAGGACTGAGATGTGTGTCACTGGTATGAGCAGTTTAACTTTGAGAGTGTTACCTCCGCACAGGTTTGCTCCTGCACCACCCCTCTGGGAAAGGTTTGCACCTTGTCCCAGAGAGCCTGTTTCTTCGCCTCATCACCAGCTAAAACTGCTGCACTTTTACCTCGATTTGGAAAGTCGTATTTTTTTGACGCCTTCCCTGACCATGAACACGGTTAGCCCTGTTTCATGTGCCCATTGCAGGCATTTCCATGTCTTGCTTCAACACGCACATCAGGCCCCGTGACTCCTGCAGGGTTCCCCCCTGCTCTGGAAGCCGGAATGCAGGGTGAGGCTCATGAGCTTTGGGATCTGGCCGTGTCCCCACCAACCCCAGCTCTCACCGCGGCCCTGCACTCAAAGTCCCCTCCATCACTGACTGCACTTACTGCATGTGATCGGCTGCCGTGCGAGGCCAGTTAAATGCATGTTTAAAATAGAGCAACAAGAACTTACACAGATTCACAGGGTTAGTCCCAGAACAACACTCTTATGAGCCCATTTCTATTAAAGAGGAAACAAGCACAGAAAAATTAGGTCATTTGCCCAAAAACACAGAGTCTGTGGTAGAAACAGTTTTCAGGCCCGGCCATCTGGTTCTAAATCCGTGGTATTACAACATGCCAGGGGGGTGCACCTCTCCCCCAGTGCACACCAGGAGCCCTCCCTGGCACCAGGTGCTCCCCTCGCCCCGTCCCCAGCACTGCCACGTGCACCCTCCGTGTGTGCTCGTTACATGCAGTCTGGTGTCCACACTCTGGAGTGGTGGTGTTTAAGGAATCAGTGTGTTTTTTTGAAAAGCCCGTGCTGTGGTAAAAGGAAGCTCTGCTAGGCACCAGGAGAGTCCAGGCAGAGGCGCCCCAACTCCATCCAGTGTCTTTGCCTCTCAAGTGAAGGGGTTAGTAGGATTCGAGATACCAGACAGGTCGGGAGGTTAAAAGGATGCGTTGTATATAAAGGTGTCCCTCTGCTGAGTCGTCTCTGGTCTTGGTGATGAAGGTGGGCACAGGACATGAGGGCAGGGCACCAACAGTCAGAGTGTGGTGCTACCCCGGCCCCACACACGGCTGCAGGGGCTCTGTGGGGCCCACCTGTGACTCGGCCTCTCCTTTTCCAGTGCGGAAACATGGCTCGCGAAGGACTGCGGACCCTCGTGGTTGCAAAGAAGGCGTTGACAGAGGAGCAGTACCAGGACTTTGAGGTGAGCTGACTCCCCGCCATCTCATCCTCCTACGACGTTTCCTTCCTTCTGCTTAGCTCTTTCTGTCTTTGTATGAAATTAGAGCTGGGACTGCTGTAGCCTAGGAGTGAAGGCAGCTTCACTCAGCAGGAGCATGGGGTGATCCTCTCTGCATTTCTGTTTCCACCACTTCTCCAGCCTGCTGGGAAAGGAGTGTCACAGAAGCAAAGAAGTGCCAGTTTTCTTAGAATTGTGCTTGATAACTCCTAAGTGGTCACAGTCCAGTCGAGTTGAGTACACATAGAGGATGTGCACACAGGCGCCTCCCCCACTGTCCCCAGAGCCCGTGCAGTCCAGCTCTGTGGAGTACACACATGGAGCATGTACACACGTGGAGCACGTACACACGTGTGCACACAGCCGCCTCCCTCTCTGTCCCCAGAGCCGATACACTCAGGCCAAGCTGAGCATGCACGACAGGTCCCTCAAGGTGGCCGCGGTAGTTGAGAGCCTGGAGAGGGAGATGGAACTGCTGTGCCTCACCGGCGTGGAGGACCAGCTGCAGGCGGACGTGCGGCCCACGCTGGAGATGCTGCGCAACGCCGGGATCAAGGTACCGCGGGCTCACCTCTGCTGGTGCGTGCTGCTTGTGCTGAAGCAAACTGCTTTTCCTTGGGCACGCTGATTTGTGAAACTCCTGTGGGGTCGTAGTTGTGAGCAAGCTCTGTAAGCAAAGCTGCCCACGAGCTCCCCTCCTTCCTTAGGGACGTCTGCGCACACAAGTCCCCACGCCGTCCCTGCCCCAGACCTTCCTCTCCACACCTCTTCCCTCTTTGGATACCCTGGCCTTTTTGAAGAGGAGCCCTGGTCCGAGCCCTGGTCCCAGCCCTGGCGATGTCAAACTCTCACATGCCATTTCCCAGGGATGGTTATGTACCCCCCGACAGGACGCATGGGGCCAGTGCCCATCGCCCTGGCCACTGCCAGCCAGGCGTCTGCAGCCATTCCTGGGTTGGCTGGCACTCATGCCCTTGCCCCCAGCCTGTCACAACCCTGCACCTGGCAAGGCTGGGCCACTGTGTTCTCTGTGTAACGTGGCCTCCTCCTGCAGGGGCCTGTGTGCCTCCCCTGTGAGCACTCACAGCTCCGGGTACGTCCAGTGTGACAGCACGTGTTCTGTGAGGATGGGAGTGCGTGAGAACTCAGGCCTCATGTGGGCTTTGGCTTCATTCTTGGTTAAATTGTGCCAGATTTGGAATCATCTCGTGCTTCAGGGCATATTAGAGTTGAGAATATAGAATATTCAGACATGCACTACATCCATTTTATTGATGTTTTTGAAGAAATAATGCATCCACATTGTCACAAACTCAGAAAGCACAAAAGGACACCCTATGGAAGCCGCTTCTCACTGCTGGGCTCAGCGGCAAAAGCCTGCCCCAGAGATGGCTGGACGTGCAGGGCAGGTGCAAAGCTGCTTGTCCTCCCTCTGGCTCTTCGTTCTTTCCCAGCACCTTCTCCGTAGCTGGAAGACACCCCCTCCACCTCGGCTGTGTGGCTCATGCCCCCACCCACACCATGCTCCCAGCAGCAGTGTCCCATCTCCAACAGGCAGTGCCCACCTTCCCCGTGCTCCCCAAGGCAGTGCCACATCTCATCCAGCTGTGTGGTCCTTGGCAGTTTAAATATGGTGTCTGCGAAATGTGTTTCCTTTGGATGGGAGAGGTTAGGCATCCTGGCCATGCTTCTTGGTGGCTTCCCCCAGATGCTGTGTGGCGGGGCCCATGCTCCCTGCCTGCCGACCTGCTCTCTGGCTCTTTCACTTACTGATGTGTCCTCTTCCTACACAGGGGAAATTAGCACCTGTGGTGTAAGTTTTATTTTTCAGGAGCTTTCCTCACATGTTCTCATTGAAGCCAAAAGCTCAACGCAGATTGGTTAAGATAATTTATTTTAGCATTACCTCAAGGACCTGGGGCTCAGAATGGAAAAAAGTGTAACTTAGTTTTCAGAGAAAAGCTGTATATCTAGACTAGAGGGACGGAACTGAAGGACAGTGTCAGAAGTCAAAGCTTTGCCAACTTCAGATAAAAAATACATCCCTCTAGCTTCGATGAAGATGCTGTGCCATGGACAGAAAATGGGCAACTGTTTTCCTTGCTGTCTAGAGGTCTGCATGGTGAAGAGACTTGTAAGATTTAATGTCCATCTGAGATCGCAGTAGGAAGTGTGTCATGAGGCTGTATTATATCCATCTGAGATCACAGTAGGAAGTGTATCATGATCACAGTAGGAAGCATGTCATGATCGCGGTAGGAAGTATGTCATGATCACAGTAGGAAGTGTGTCATGATCGCAGTAGGAAGTGTGTCAGGAGGCTGTTCATATCCGACTGAGATCGCAGTAGGAAGTGTGTCATGATCGCGGTAGGAAGTATGTCATGATCGCGGTAGGAAGTGTGGCATGATCACAGTAGGAAGTATGGCATGATCTCAGTAGGGTGTCATGATCGCAGTAGGAAGTGTGTCATGAGGCTGTATCATAGAGATCGCAGTAGGAAGTGTATCATGATCGCAGTAGGAAGTATGTCATGATCACAGTAGGAAGTGTGTCATGAGGCTGTATCATATCCATCTGAGATCGCAGTAGGAAGTGTATCATGATCGCAGTAGGAAGTATATCATGATCTCAGTAGGAAGTGTGTCATGATCGCAGTAGGAACTGTGTCATCAGGCTGTATCATACCCGTCTGAGATCGCAGTAGGAAGTGTATAATGATCGCAGTAGGAAGTATGTCATGATCTCAGTAGGAAGTGTGTCATGAGGCTGTATCATATCCGTCTGAGATCGCAGTAGGAAGTGTATCATGATCGCAGTAGGAAGTATGTCATGATCTCAGTAGGAAGTGTGTCATGATCACAGTAGGAAGTGTGTCATGAGGCTGTATCATATCCGTCTGAGATCGCAGTAGGAAGTGTATCATGATCACAGTAGGAAGTGTGTCATGATCTCAGTAGGAAGTGTGTCATGAGGCTGTATCATATCCATCTGAGATCGCAGTAGGAAGTGTATCATGATCGCAGTAGGAAGTGTGTCATGATCTCAGTAGGAAGTGTGTCATGATTGCAGTAGGAACTGTGTCATCAGGCTGTATCATACCCGTCTGAGATCGCAGTAGGAAGTGTATAATGATCGCAGTAGGAAGTGTGTCATGATCTCAGTAGGAAGTGTGTCATCGCAGTAGGAAGTGTGTCATGAGGCTGTATCATATCCGTCTGAGATCGCAGTAGGAAGTGTATCATGATCGCAGTAGGAAGTATGTCATGATCTCAGTAGGAAGTGTGTCATGATCTCAGTAGGAAGTGTGTCATGAGGCTGTATCATATCCGTCTGAGATCGCAGTAGGAAGTGTATCATGATCACAGTAGGAAGTGTGTCATGATCTCAGTAGGAAGTGTGTCATGAGGCTGTATCATATCCATCTGAGATCACAGTAGGAAGTGTATCATGATCGCAGTAGGAAGTGTGTCATGATCTCAGTAGGAAGTGTGTCATGAGGCTGTATCATATCCGTCTGAGATCGCAGTAGGAAGTATGTCATGATCTCAGTAGGAAGTGTGTCATGATCGCAATAGGAAGTGTGTCATGATCGCAGTAGGAAGTATGTCATCATTGCAGTAGGAAGTGTGTCATGAAGCTGTATCTGGTTTCAGAGTAATTGTTCATGTAGAAATTCAAAATGACAAGAGAACAATTCTGACTCAGAAAGTTTAGATTACTAAACTTAATTGTATTGTATAGCCAAAAAGTTGAATAAAGAAGTGTGATTAGCAGATGAGCTGGGTGTGGTACTGTGTGCCTGGGATCCCAGCTACTCGGGAGACTGAGGCGGGAGGTTCAGTCGAGCCCCAGAGTTCATGGCAAGACCCATCTGTAAATCGACACATGAATGAGTGACCAGATGACCCCTGCATTTCACTGTAACTTTTTAGTAAACTTCACCTCAGTCTACTTCTTACTTTATATGTGCTAGACTATTAGTATATTAAAGTAGTGAATATCCCTTGTATTAAAATTTGGATCTTTACATCAATTATTTGCTAAATTATATGACTTTGTCGAGTTTTGCTCTTTATTCTGTACATTATGTAAAGTCTGACTTCAGATGTTCCTCTGAAACTCGAAGGTGATTTTCAGCGGGACCTCACTGCATTTCCTGAATCCCACTCAGGTTGCCGCAGTGCTAGTTCTTCTTCAACTTTGTCACAATAATGTGTCATAATCTTAGGTCCAATAAATGAATATAAGTCTGTAAAATAAATACAAAGCACAAATCTTAGACATTGAGAGAGCCACAGGTGGAGCGTGCTTAAGCAGATAATCGGTACACTGTTGAAGCTGTTTTTCTGCTTCCTGTTTCCAAAAATGCATATTTCAATATAATACATACGAAATCTGAGAAATTCAGCTAATGAGAATATTACTGGAATTTCTTTGCTGTTATATATATCAAATATCCTGATATCTATTAAGTATCCTGATATTTTATTGTCTAGGGATACATATACACATAAGATGTGCATGGGTATGCAATTTTTAAATGTAAAAGTGCTACTATTTAACATGTTTTATACGACATAAACAACTTTTGGCTTGACTATGGGCCAGTTACCCATTGAACCTCCGTTTCCAACTTAAAAACTAGCAAACTGCAGTAAAGGTCTTCCTGAGCCTCCCAGCCTGGCAAACTGTGACTGTGTGCTTGGTGTGGAATGCTGTGTGGACAGCGCCTCTGACACTCACAGCTATCCTTATTAGACTTAGCCTGCGAGTGCCGGGCCCAGGTGTTACTCGCGTGCCTCCAGATCTCAGCTGCTGTATCTACACATCACTGTGCTCTCACTTGTTCCACCTTAAGCAAGTTCACACACCGTTTAGTTGTGGTTGAATGTGTGTAGCGTGACCTTGTTGAAGTCTGCATTGCCGACACACCATTTAGTTGTTGTGTGTAGTGTGACCTTGTTGAAGTCTGCGTTGCCGATTCTTGTGCAGCCAACACCACCATCCCCTCCAGAACTGTTCCATCTTCCTAAACGGGAACTGCCCCTCTCCCCATTCCCCTTCCCCTAGACCTGGGCACCCACCATCTACTTCTTTCTCTATGGATTGGATGGCTCTAGGGACCTCATGGAAATGGGATCAGACATTGTTTGTCCTTTTGTGACTGGCTTCTTTCACTCAGCATAATGTCCTCAAGGTTGAACCACATCGCAGCCTGGGTCAGAATTTCCATCCTTTTCAAGGCTGAATGACACTCCGTTGTGTGGATGGAGCACATTTTGCTCATCCATTTATCTGTTGACGGGCACGTGGCTTGCTTGCACCTTCTGGCTGTTGTGAATTATGTGAGACTCAGAGATGAGCGTGTCCTTGTCTTGTTGAAGTTCACCAGTTTAAATTGCTTCGTAGATATGGATGCTAACAGGCGATAAACTCGAGACAGCTACTTGCATTGCCAAAAGTTCACATCTGGTGTCTAGAACACAAGACATTCATATTTTCAGACAGGTAAGTATGTATCTTAATCACTTTGAATTTTTAAACATTTATCTCACACAAATAAAGCCTATTGTTTTTCTCAGAATATATGTTCAGTTATTTACTAATCACTAAATATCTTTTTAAAAAGAAATACTGTAATTTTTTTAATTTATAAAAACATGTTCAAATAGATATTTTTAACCACATACATTAATAATGATCAAAAGCTGCTTTTTGACAGATTGAACAAACTCTAAGTTCAAAAGTATTTTTTGGTTATACTATTAGTATTATTTTTTACTATTTTAAAAGAGGCATACTGCAGTTATTTTCAATTTGTAAAAATGTATATTGATAAAAAATTACATTTTTCTACAAGTTACACATACTACATGTTGTCCGAAGCTGCTGTTGTGAAACAAGCTATAAATACAAAATAGGAATGTGTTTTTAATCACTGCCATTTTCAGAGCAAGTGCTGCCTTAATTAGTTCAAAGAAAATTGATAGAAATGATCTAAGTTTATGTGTTTACTGTATGTATTAGTTATGACTAAATTTAATTCAAACAAAAAATAAAAATTTCTTGTTCTTGATTGATGGTGGGTGAACAGACATTCTGTGTCTGCGTCTGTTCTAAATGAATTGCTTGCACCTACAGAAGGAGTTATTTGAATATAATTTACATGTAAATGTAGTTTGTTTTGAAGCATCAGAATCGCAAATTAGGCCCTGAAGACTACTATTTGCAATTAAATTATTAATGCTTCTGATAAAACTTCAGATCAATTTTTGTTGACTTTTCAGTGTTATAGCACCACAAATTAAATTTTTCACAATAAAACCTACCTATTTAAAGATGAGTCTGAGATTGTTAATTTGAACCACATGAAGCTTTTAATTTATTTCGGTCCTATTAATAGGACTATTAATATATCATTTATTTTATGCTCCATAAAATCTCCACAGAAAGAATATGAAAAACCAGTTACGTTGGTTTCTGAAATGTTTTTGTTCAAAAACGAAGGATATTTCAAGATTATGACTTAATTTTACTCTTTTAGGTTTTTTAAAAATCCCTCAGACACTGAGTAAAACCTAATGGAGTAAGTTGAAACCCATGGCAGAGACAACACGAGCAATTAAGTATTTTGCATTATTTGACCTATTATGAAAAGAGATGTATTTACATAACACCTTGGTTTGAGAGCGTCCTGCCTCTTACCCGATGTGTGGCGATGAGGAGCTTGGCCTCCCTGGGCTCTGGTGCCCTGTCGGGTGGAAGCCTCGTTCTGCAGAGCCATGTCCGTGATGCTGCCAGTCAGTGACTCAGCAGTGCTGCTCCCCACACCAGCCTACCCTGGCCTGTTGCTCTGATAAATAATCACCTCGTGGAAATTACAAGAAAATTCTTAATCATTATCATTGTATATTAAGGGAGTATATTTATAAAAGGCAATTACTTTCCCAAACTATCCAGAGGGTAATTATTAACTCACAGGCACCCTTTACGTAAATTTCATCAGCGTGGGGATTCCACTGCATTCCTCACTGTAAGTTTCCTGCTTGCAGTTGCCACAAATGTGAAAATGATTTGTGTTAACTGAGTGGTAGACACACCCAGCACTGCCGGAGGAATTGGAAAGGACCTTCTTCTGCGTCCAAATCCTAAAGCTACTTTAGTTTCAGATGATGACCCCAAAACAGTCCACCGTGACTCTGCAACTAATGCCCTGTTTCTCTGTGCCTCTAACTTAGACAACATTTTAATTTGGGATTCTTTTTTCTCCCTTAATGGAGGTAACCAATCGGGGAGAGGCACATTTGGAGCTGAATGCATTTCGAAGGAAGCATGATTGTGCACTGGTCATATCTGGGGATTCTCTGGAGGTAAGGCTGGACCCTGAGTGAGTACATGTGTGTCTGTCTGTGTCTCTGAGGCAAGGCTGGCCCCTGGCCGAGCGTGTCCGTCCATCCCAGTGCACCGAGGGCTTGTTGAGTCGAGTGCTTTTGCCTGTCTGTGCTGTTTCGGCAGTCTCCGTTCCGTAGCCGCTGCACCTGCCACTCTGGAAAGCAGCCCCAGCCTGAGGAGATGTCAGAGCTGGATCTCAGCGGTTATTACTCCTCCTTTACACATTGAGAGTCTGAAAGCAGGGCTGGGTCACGGTGATTGTTACTCCTCCGTTAGACACTGAGAGCCTGAAAGTGCTGCAGGAGACCTGGAGCAGGAGCGACAGGAGCCTGTCCAGCGCTGTGGTTCTGGCTCTCTGTCCTGTCCACGTTGCATCCGCTGGAGCAGGAGTGCCCCAAGTAGCTTCATGCCTCGTTTTCCTCGCACGCGCGGCCCCCGGCTGAGAGAGCTGTGGCACCGGGGCTGGTGGGAGCCTCCCCCTGCACAGCTGTTGCACAGGCTCATGGACTTAATCGTCCTGGACCGTCCCCAGAGCAAGCACTCCAAGAAATCTGGCAGAAGCTGCCCCAGAACGTCACTGGGTCACATGAGGTTGTTCAAGAAAGTCACTAAGGCAGCCTGGATTCCAGGGGAGGGGGATCAGACCAGAAGGTCATGTCGTAGCTCAAATCCCAGAGGATTCTCTCTGGTACTTCAAGTGGAAGAACTTCCCTGGGCAGGAGGATGGTTCCGTGTTATGTAGAATTTCTTCCCATGGTTTTTATATTTTCCCCTGTCCGTGAGTCTTGTGAAGTGATTCACAGAATACTGAAAAGACTGAGAACGGTGGCGTCTGTGGGCTTTGCTCCTGTGGTTTTGCACTTTCTGCATCACACAAATCTGGGACAGCGTTGTCGACCATAAGGCGAAATAACACAGGCTTTGTTGTCCAGGTTTGTCTAAAGTACTACGAGCATGAGTTCGTGGAGCTGGCCTGCCAGTGCCCCGCCGTGGTGTGCTGCCGCTGCTCGCCCACGCAGAAGGCCCACATCGTGACACTGCTGCAGCAGCACACGGGGAGACGCACCTGCGCCATCGGTGAGAGCCGCCCACCCCGCTCACGGGGAGGTCTCCAGAGAAACCCGCAGGCTGACATTGACGGGCAGAGTTTGTTCCATCTCTAAAACTAGACTGATTTCGTCTCTATTCATGGAAGTTTCTGAAATAGCTGCTGATGGTAACAAATGAAAAACGTGATGATGGATGGGGTTTTATTTTATCTCACTTTTCTTGCTTTGCAGGTGATGGAGGAAATGATGTCAGCATGATTCAGGCAGCAGACTGTGGGATTGGGATTGAGGGAAAGGTAGGTTCCCCCTTTTATCAACACATCAGCACACACTCAGCACACAGCACACATCAACACGACTCAGCACATGCTGGGCCATTGTACACTCAGCACCTACTCAGTGCACATCAGCACATGCTTAGCACACACTCGGTCAACACACACTCCGCACGTGCTCAGCACACAGCACACATCAGCACACGCTCAGTCAGCACACACTCAGCACGTGCTCGGTCAACACACATCAGCACGTGCTCAGCATACAGCACACGCTCGGCACACAGCACACATCAACACGACTCAGCACATGCTGGGCCATTGTACACTCAGCACCTACTCAGTGCACGTCAGCACATGCTTAGCACACACTTGGTCAGCACACATCAGCACGTGCTTAGCACACAGCACACATCAGCACATGCTCAGCACACAGCACACATCAGCACACGCTCAGTCAGCACACACTCAGCACGTGCTCGGTCAACACACATCAGCACGTGCTCAGCACACAGCACACGCTCGGCACACAGCACACATCAACACGACTCAGCACATGCTGGGCCATTGTACACTCAGCACCTACTCAGTGCACGTCAGCACGTGCTTAGCACATTCTCGGTCAGCAAACATCAGCACATGCTCAGTGCACAGTCAGCACACACTCGGCACACACTTGATCAACACGTGCTCAGCACACACTCAGCACACTCGTTTAGCACACCACATACACTCAGCACACACTAGGTCAGCACACGTCAGCACGTGCTCAGCGCATACCTGGTCATTTTACACCCAACACATGCTCATTGCACGCTTGGTCAGAACACATGCTTGGTGAATGCACACTTGGTCAACACGTGTGTTCAGCACACAGTCAGTCAGCACGGCCTGAAGAGCCTGGTGTGTCCCAGGCACTGAACTGTACATTTGAGTAAAGGAGGAATTGGTCAGAGTCCCCTGCTTCAACCCCACATTTCATAAAGACGATCCTGCCACATGCATTAGAGCCCAGCCCTCGGCAACTTGCTGTTGGCGGAGTGGCATGCAGGGAGGTGTCACTCTTAGTCACCTGCCCTCGGACTCAGTCCAGATGTCAGCAGATCGGCCAGCAAGCCTTTCCGTGGCCTCCCTCCTGTTCCCACGCGCCATTCTCTGTGTGGTTCCTCCCTCCTGTTCCCACGCGCCATTCTCTGTGTGGTTCCTCCCTCCTGTTCCCACGCGCCATTCTCTGTGTGGTTCCTCCCTCCTGTTCCCACGCGCCATTCTCTGTGTGGTTCCTCCCTCCTGTTCCCACGCGCCATTCTCTGTGTGGTTCCTCCTCCTGTTCCCACGCGCCATTCTCTGTGTGGTTCCTCCCTCCTGTTCCCACGCGCCATTCTCTGTGTGGTTCCTCCCTCCTGTTCCCACGCGCCATTCTCTGTGTGGTTCCTCCCTCCTGTTCCCACGCGCCATTCTCTGTGTGGTTCCTCCCTCCTGTTCCCACGCGCCATTCTCTGTGTGGTTCCTCCCTCCTGTTCCCACGCGCCTTTCTCTGTGTGGTTCCTCCCTCCTGTTCCCACGCGCCATTCTCTGTGTGGTTCCTCCCTCCTGTTCCCACACGCCATTCTCTGTGTGGTTGCCTGTGTCTCCTGGCTGAGCTGTGGTTTGAGGTTCATCTTCTGTGCCAGCCTTATCTGTGTTACGCTCTCTTTATCCACAGTCACTTAAATGTTAATACAGACACACCCAAAAAGACCTGGAAAATTCACCCAGCTCAAGCAAGTGTGGCTTTTTCCTTGGCTACTTCCTTTCGTAATGCCTTACAACAGAATTGTGAAAGAGGAGATAGATTATTTCTTTAAATATGAAAAACGGAGAACTGCCTTGAAGAAGCCCAAGATGATAGGGGCGTCCTCCCACAGGGCTGGCCCGTGCTCATATCACAGGGCCGTCTTCCGACAGGGCTGGCCCACGCTCAGATCACAAGGGAATGCTTCGACAGGGCTGGCCCAGGCTCTGCGACTCTGCTGACTCCTGTGACACCCACAGACTATCGGAGCCGAGCTCTCCTGAAGTGCTTGTGAGAGCCTGGGCTGGTGCTGGGGGCTCTTCCTGCCCCTGTGCCTAAGACTGTAGGACCTGTCCCCATTGACATAGCTGAAGCTCTAAAAGTCCTGCAGAGAGAACTTCAGTCTTTGTCAAATGTAGGCTGAGTTCTAAAACTCAGCTTTTGGAGTCTGATTTCCAGTGTCCGCAGTGTTTGAAAGGCCCCGTGTGCTTTTCTTTCAGGAGGGGAAGCAGGCCTCGCTGGCGGCCGACTTCTCCATCAGGCAGTTCCGGCACATTGGCAGGCTGCTCATGGTGCACGGACGGAACAGCTACAAGAGGTCAGCAGCACTCGGCCAGTTCGTCATGCACAGGGGCCTTATCATCTCCACGATGCAGGTACTGAGCCTTCTGTGCTGGCACCGAGGAGGGCAGCGTCCGGGAGAGGAGGTGCTGAGTGCTGCTGGAAGTACCTGGGCTGTGCTTAGGAGGTAGCGAGGCCCCTGAGAGGCCTGGGGCCACAGGTGCTTGTGGAACTGACGGTTGTCTTCGTCTGTGGCTCTCTCTCCAGGCTGTGTTTTCCTCAGTCTTCTACTTCGCATCCGTCCCTTTGTATCAGGGCTTCCTCATGGTGGGGTAAGTTACACTCAGCACCTGCCAGCTCATCCAGGGGAGGACATCTATTTTGGAAAAAAACAAAACAAAACATATATAGAAGATTCTTGATACAGTCATCATTTAGAATGAATAATACTGATGTAAAAACAACATTTTACTTGGGTGAACTTCAAGACAACACCTGCACACTTGTTCCTCCTGGGATTTTCTTACTAGATTTTGTTTTCAAGTGGAAGCCATAGTTTGTGTCAGGAACTGTGTTGGATCTGAGATTTTTAAAGGGTCCCGTGGCAGAAGGCGGAGGGACAGAGTGGCCACTGACAAGCCCTCCCGGCTCTCTGCAGCTGCCCTCCCCTGGCTGGGGTTTCGTCCTGCTGTGGGGCGTGGCCAGCAGCGGAGAACAGTGCGTGCGGGGATATAGCGTGGCGTGCGTCGAAGCAAACACCGTCAGTCTCTCCCGGGCAGGAATGGAATCTCATTTTCAAAGATAACAGCACCAGGGCTGTGCGTGGTGGCTCACGCCTGTAATCCCAGTGCTTTGGGAGGTTGAGGTGGGCGTGGGTGGATCACCTGAGGTCAGGAGTTCGAGACCAGCCTAACATGGCGAAACCCTGTGTCTACTAAAAATACAAAAAAATTAGCCAGGCGTGGTGGTGTGTGCCTGTAATCCCCGTTACTCGGGAGGCTGAGGCACAAGAATCACTTGAACCTGTGAGGTGGAGGTTGCAGTGAGCTGAGATCATGCCATTGCACTCCAGCTTGGGCAACAAAGCCAGACTCCATCTCAAAAAAAAAAAAGTAAAGATAACAGCACCAGTGTCTTAGAAAAGGACACCAAAAGTGCAGCAGGCATGCGACGTGCATTGAAAGCTGAGCTGATTTTGCCGACCACGCCTACCTTATCTGCAAAACAGGAACTTCCTATGAAGGATGAATAGGTGGGAATTTCTCTTTTCCTCCTCCTTTGTGGTTATGCCTAGAAATGAAATCAGTGTGACTGTTCATGTTGGCAGCAAACTAAAAGCGGCCTCTCCTCTGCCGCTGACCTCCCTGACCCCTGCAAAGCTTATTCCCACCTTAACCAGGTTCTACCCCACAAGGAGTCTCAGAAAATACTTTAATAGTAACAGCTGCTGGCCTCAGTGCTGTCGGCATTGAACATGCTTTCATCCCCACCTTGTCCCCACTTCATGTGTGAGAAAAGTGAGAGACCCAGAGAGCTCAGGAACTTGCCCGTGGGAGGCCCAGCTCAGACCTGAGTCGTCAGGGGCTGCCGCCGGGTGCTCCTCCCCGTCACGCAGCCACCGAGCTTACCCCAGGTCCACAGAGAAAACAGAGTCCTTTCTCCCTGCAGAGCTGTTTCTAATCCGCAGTCTAAACACCGTTTCACTCGACAGCTCCCTGAATCCCAGGAATTCCTCACAATTTTAGCAAAATACAGGGAAATATCAGTCTGTGCGTGTATTCGGTTTTTGATAAACATGTGAGGTTCTCTTAAGTCACCTTCTTCCCAAGTCACAATCCCTGAGAGGCGCCCGCATCATCCTGAGCTGTCCAAGGAGCATTGCCATGCACAGAGACGCACTTGGGTCTCCGCCTTCCTTCCGTCTCCAGTCTTCAGGTCCTCTCTGTCCTCTGGCCTCCACACATGATGTCCCCTTGGCCTAGACCACTGCCAGATGTCCCCATTGTCCTTGCTTCCCCGGGAGGCCCCGGCCCCCCGCCACGCTGCACCTTCACACCCCCATTGTCCTTGCTTCCCCGGGAGGCCCCGGCCCCCCATGCTGCACCTTCACACCCCCATTGTCCTTGCTTCCCCTGGAGGCCCGGCCCCCCCACGCTGCACCTTCACACCCCCGGCCACACAGTTGTATTTCCAGTTAGCGTCCTATTCTGCATGCTCTGCAAGGACAAATCACAACGTATATCAGGTTCTCATACCTGCTGTGGGTTTGTCAGTGTGAACTTCAGTGTGTGTGAATTTCAGAGGAGGGCCAGACTCCGGCGGATTCTAGGCCCCACACCCCAAGCCTCAGGACAGCTGAGTTGTGGGACTCACAGCTACCAAGACTCCTGGGGCACCTGCCTCGGACTCCACGTCCTTCACCTGCACGTGTTAGCACCGTTCCTCCCAGGGTATCAGGAGCCTGTCCTGTGGTCTTAAAAATCACTTTGAATAAAGTAGGTAAGAGCCTGGGGAAACCTTCACATGTGTCTTCAGGCTTCTCTCACCCCTAGCCCTTCATCTTGGCACAAGTGCCTAGGTTTTAGACCCCTGCCTGCTATAATCACACAGGGAGTAACCCCGTTGATCATGATCGTAAGCATTGCAGACTCCCGTTTTGTGGCCCACAAGGAAAGTGCCATCATCGGCCCTGGGCTATCCTGTCCACTGAGGCTCCCTCAGCCCCAGTATGAGGTAGCACAGGATGACACTGTGCATCCATGGTGTCACTTGAGCCTTATTTCATGTCTCTCTGTGACCAAAGAATGTCCCAGCAACCTACCAACTCATAGCCCATACAGTTGATGGAAATCGTGGTAGGATTTGTGCTAATATTCTCAGCTTCCCATGAATTTCAATAATGTTTTCTGTAGTACTTCAAACAAAGGGGAAAAATCCTAAAGGTGCAGTAAGTGCTAACTCTTTTTAAATAGGTTTTCCCATCGCCTACATCTTTACAGTGATTATTACGTTCATGACTTTTTTTTTTTTTTTTTTTTTGAGACAGAGTCTTGCTCTGTCGCCCAGGCTGGAGTGCAGTGGCGTGATCTCAGCTCGCTGCAACCTCTGCCTCCTGGGTTCAAGTGATTCTCCTGCCTCAGCCTCCCTAGTAGCTGGGATTACAGGTATGTGCTACCACGCCCAGCTAATTTTTGTATATTTTTAGTAGAGACGGGGTTTTACCATGTTGGCCAGGGTAGTCTCGAACTCCTGACCTCAAATGATCCACCTGCCTCAGCCTCCCAAGGTGTTGGGATTACAGGCATGAGCCCTTTCACCCAGCCTAGTTGCTTTTAAATAGTATCGAATTTGCACAGTAATGCTGATTGCATCTTGAGTTTGAATAGTGTGCTTCTTCCTTGGAAGTCATAGAAAAGCATAACCATTCTCACCTTCTTTCGTATTTTAAAAATCATGGATTTGAAACATTGAAAGGAAAATGTAGGGGACCATGGAGATTATTCTTTAAAGAACTACTGCTTGGGTTAGCGAGGCCTGGATGCCTGCCTCACAGCCCGAGTGCTCCACGGTGTCCCCAGCTCCTGTTCCTACAGCTCTTCTTTATAGTGGGCTTTATGTAAAGTCACTCTGAGTGTCCGTCACGCAAGAAATGTCTGTGACTTTCTTAAGCACTCATACTCTGAATTTGGTTAGGTGGGAGCTTTGGAGGGGCAATGCTTTTAGTTAATCTTTGAAAATAAATAATGAGTTTGCCTTCACCTAAGAAATAAATACCAAGAAGTGAGCAAAAAGCAACATGGTGTTTTTACAAAATAACATCTAACTAGACCAAAATCATGGCTATGATAGAGAAACTGGCTCTAGAAGCTAGAGGACAGTTGACAGAACTTAATTCCACAAATATGGTTTTCATCTACGTTCATTTCATCAGCTCTGGAGGGAACTGGTGGCCGAGGTGACTTTCCTGAAGCAAGAGGCCCCAGGAGCAGGAAGGACTAGGCATACTCAGTGCACAGCAGGGAAACCAGGGAGGGACCAGGGACCCTGGGGGCCATGAAGCTGGTGATGGGGAACCCTAGGGCATGGGGAATGGGGCGGCAGGAGGGGCTGGGAGAGACAGGACAGCCTGGGGAGGCTCCTGTGATCCCCAAGCCCACCCTGCCCTTGCTCCCCAAGCAGGCCTAGGGAATGCCATGCCCTCTGCCAGAAAGAGAGCTCCTAGGCCAAGTCCTCATGGGGAACCTCTGTGGGGTGCAGCATTGTGCGCTTTGGCAAGCTGGAGGCTCTGAGAGAGACTCCTGATCTCATGAGCCCACAACTCATGTTCCACGGAAATGCTTTGGGAAACGCTAGTCTGAACTGGCCGGAGGTGTCTCCCCAGTGACTCTGGCAGCTGCCCGCAAGGATCTCACACACAGTGCCACGGCATAGCAGCCATTCCTGGGTGTGGGTCTCCTTTATGCCCTTGCTAGTGACTCAGATGGAGAGCCTGTGAGCGCTCTTGTTAAAGTTAGATTGAACCTTAATTGAGCACCACGAAGGTGCGTGTCATCCCGAGAGAGGGCTCTGGGCAGGAGGAGCACAGGCAGGTCCCTCGGAGCCGTGTCCAGACTTGCAGGAATGGGAGGCTCTGTGGGTTTGTCAGAGAGGGTCTTCAGAACTTCCACTTCCCGCCATGATTGGAATAACAGGAAACAGATTTCTCTTCCAAGCCTAATCAAGTGGAAAACATGAGAAAACACATGAAACAAATGTTTTCAGACATTGGATAGGAAGCAGTGGGGACGGTGGTGCCTCTGAGAAGAGAAACAACTCTCCCACATCTAGAACCAACAGCCAGACAGCCTCGAAACCTCTGTGTTTCAACAGCCAGACGGCCTCGAAACCTCTGTGTTTCAACAGCCAGACGGCCTCGAAACCTCTGTGTTTCAACAGCCAGACGGCCTCGAAACCTCTGTGTTTCAATAGTCCTTGTACCTGAGATGAAGTTTCTCAGCGTAAACTTCAGTGTGTGCACATCTCCGAGGAGGGCCAGGCTCTGGTGGGTTCTAGGGCCCCTCAACCTGTGCCCAGGTTGGCACAGACTTCCAAAGCACAAACATCATGACGCACTGAGAATAAACTGAGATGATGGACTTCATAAAAATTAAGTTTTTGCTCTTCTAAAGACAGTGCTAATCAAGTAAAAGGCAGACAAGAAGGAAATACTTTCAATACATATCTTCAACTCGATGAAACAACTCAGTTTTTTTTTAAGATGAAATATTTGAACATCCATCACAAAAGAAGACATAAGAATGGCAGTAAGCACAAGAAAATGTATTTAACATCA